CATAGAACTAAAACTAACGAGCCTAACCCAACATTTTTCTGGACAGATGACCTGACTGAAAAAATGTTGGATTGTATACCTGGATTATTGAGCATGGACTTTGTTGTTAACAAGCCTAACCTTCTGCATATCCTTTCCAGCCTGATCCCTTTGTTTTGCCAATCGGTACAATTCTTTTTCACCTTCTTTAGTGTCCAGCCTCCCATACAACTCCTCATACACATATTTCACAGTGCACCAACAGGAATTTAAAGAAAATACCCAACTGTGAGCAGCAACAAACAGGTGAGAAGAGTGTAAATAACAAATACCAGCATGCAGAGTGGTCTGCTGTAAAGTCTGTAGACTGTATATACTGTGTGTATATATATATATATATATATATATATATATATATACACACACAAACCATACATATATATGTGTGTGTGTATATATATATATATATTTACTTACACACACAGAAATGTATCTCAAAAGTTTAAATATTGTGGAAGTAGTTCAATATTTTGTAAATGTTTTCAGAAAGTGAAACTCGTGTCTCATTCATTATACAGAGTGAAACATTTCCAGCCTTTGTTTCTTCCAATTTAGATGATTATAATTTAATATATTTTTGCATTGATAGTATTTAAACTTCATTATATTATAAGTGTACAAATTAATTATATGTTTTGTGTTTGTGTAAACAGAAGGAGTTGTGTAACATGATCCTGGATTGCTGTGCTCAACAGAGGACCTATGAGAAGTTTTTTGGTCTCCTGGCTGGGGTGAGATACTCTGCTCTGATATTATCATGAAGGATAATAAAGACAATTGCTATGAGATGGAAGGATGGAAAAAAATCATCAAGGATCAATTAAATTACTCTGATAAGAGATTAATAATCCTTAACAATAGTGCATTACCACTACTTGTTTTCCAGGAAGTATATTATAAGACACTAATGAAAACACAACTTGTTGGGGAAAAAAAGATAAAAATATCTATAACAAATCCTAACATAAATGTTTTACTACATATAACTGCAGTGCACTTCTTGTATCTTTACCGTGGAACAGAGACATCACTGTTCCAGGTGAGAATTGCTGAAAACAATAAAGTGTTTGTTTTACAGTGACGACTCTGGGCCACAATAAATTAATACAATACAAATTTAATAACGTAACTGAGCTGAGCATCAATAGAGCCAAATCACTTCCTGGTGTGGCTGGCTGCCTATTAGCCAGATATTTAAAATGATCAATTACTTCAATATTCTGGCATGATCTGCCTGGAACAAGCTTTGCATTCCGATTCAAACTACTGTCAGTGCTTATTCTTTCTCCATAACAACTCCTGGAGTTTAAGATTTGACTTTGAACACAAAGCATTCATTAACATGTGCTCCTGTGTTTGTGTTTCTTTGTTTAGAGGTTCTGTTTGTTGAAAAAGGAGTACATGGAGAGTTTTGAGGTAATATTTTCAGAGCAGTACGACACGATTCATAGACTGGAAACCAACAAGCTGAGGAACGTGGCCCGACTGTTCGCTCACCTGCTCTACACTGACTCTGTGCCATGGAGTGTAAGGACACTAACTGCTCACACACCAGCATGATGATTCAGTTCACCTCAGCCTGAGTAGCTGCACTTTTCTCTTTTTGACTCTTGACCAGGTGCTGGAATGCATCAGGATGAGTGAAGAGACCACAACTTCGTCCAGTAGGATTTTTGTGAAAATCCTTTTTCAGGAGCTTTGTGCCTATATGGGCCTGCCAAAACTCAACCAGCGTCTGAAAGACCTGTATGATCACACACACATTTATGATTTTTTTTTATATCGTATATTAGGAGAAAGTCTTTGTTTTCTTCATATTCAGTTATGCAGTAGTCCCTCATTTATCGCAGGGGTTACATTCCAGACACCCCAATGATAGGTGAAAATTTGCGATGTAGGGACATTAAATTTATTTTATATTTTAAGGCTTTATACACCCTTCTCACACTCTTCCAATGTTCTAAACTCTCTAAAAGAACACAGCGAAAGAGCAGACAGACTGATGCTACAGCTAATCAGCGCCCGGGGGCGGACTGGTCATCGGGCGCAACGGGACATTTCCCGGTGGCCTGGACCGTTCAGTGATTACTGAGGGGGACTAAAGGTTTGGTTCAGGTTGCGCTTGATAATTTAAAGTAAACAATCCACGCCGCTCACTCTGGTATCCGCCTCACTGAAGCTCCCTGAGCAGTAGTGATGGGGAAAGACAGACCTTCCGTCCCTCCTTTCTCTTTCTGAGGCTGTCTGTCACAGCAGAGACACACAACAGGCTGCACACCCGCCTGGTGTGTGTCTCTGCTCTGCTGTGACAGACAGCCTCAGAAAGAGAAAGGAGGGGGCTCTTCGGCAATTACTGAGCAGGCCAGGCCACCGGGAAATGTCCCAGTGCTCCTGATGACCAGTCCGCCCCTCAGCACAATGCTCTAGTTGGTCGCCTTCCATCAATCAGCCAATCGTGTGTTGTGTACAATCTTACGTTGAAAACCTGCGAAAGAGTGCGTTTGCGAAAATTGAACCACAAAGTATCGAGGCACTACTGTAAACGTATCTTGCTGCTGTGATGATGTCAAACGAGATGTGAACTTTTTCTTTTGTTTTCACAGTTAGGGATCATCAGAGTCAGAGTCAGAGAGTCAGAGTTTCTTTATTGTCATTCGCACCTCATGTGGTACATGTGGTGGAGCGAAATTATGTACACAAGGTCTCAGTTACATCCAACAATAAAATGTCTAAGAAAAACAGTAATAACATCTAAGATATGAACTAAGAAAAACATCAACTAAATATACACTAAGCACTCATAACATAAAACATTGAACATCAGCACAAACATTGATATATCATATCATAAAGCAGCTAAAGCTGTGAGGTTTAAGCCTGTCAGAACATTTAGATGCCAAGAAAGACTCAAGAAAGTTAAACATAGAGAAGTCTTTCTCAAACCTTTTGGCTTCCAATCCACAAAATTATAGTGACAATAGCTTGTGATCCCAATTAAAATTACAAATATTGCCAATAACCCCAATAAATAAGACTATACTAAACTGTTTTAACAACCTCAATACATGTACCACTTGATTTACTTTATGAATACTTATTAACTTAACAATTATGTTAAAAAAATATATTCCATAAACAATCATTTGTATAGTTAAGTTGATCTTAGGAGACTACCCAAGGACCCCTGATTGTGTTTCAGTGGTGTCCCTACCCCAGCTTTCAAATCACTGATAGAGAACGGCCATTTGGAGTTATGCATTGAGATAGAGCTGAATATACAGAAAATGCAAAAAGACATAGTTACTCACAAAGTTACACATTATTAAAATTCTTTACGATTCAAAATATAAAAAGTGTTTTTGTGTGTGTTTGATTGACAGAACTCTCCAGTCGTTCTTTGAAGGTCTTTTTCCTCGTGATAATCCCAGAAACACTCGCTTTGCCATCAATTTCTTCACCTCTATTGGACTGGGAGGCCTGACGTAAGTGCTACACTGCATAAAAGTCATATCAGTCTGACTTTTTAATCCATTCAAATATTCTTTAAAATGAATAGAATTTTTGATTAAGATAAGAAAATGTTAGCGTTTCTCCTAAACTTGTTCTTAGACACGACCCTGTGTTTTTGTATTTGTATTTGCATCATGTCGTTTTTAATTTTAATGTATTTTCTGTTCAGTGATGAGTTGAGGGAGCACTTAAAGAACGCACCAACGATGATCATGACTCAGAACCAGGAAGTCGACTCCTCTGACTCCTCCTCGTCTTTGTCAGACTCCTCCTCCTCAGAATCCTCCTCCACAGACTCCTCCAGCGAGTCAGATGACTCCTCATCCAGCAGCAGCAGCTCAGGTAGATCCAGCTGAAACTGCACTGCAGGTTTCCATTCTGCTGCCATTGTCTGCTTTTTACCATACCATGCCATTTTATTTATAGAGCACATAAAACAGCGACAAGGCCAATCAAAATGCTGTACAAACAGAAAAAACAGGCAACACACAAAGCAATATACAAAATGAAGTAAATCAGAATATAGACATAAAAACGTCACAGATAATAAATATTTTGACTAACCTGTGTGAAGCATACAGGTTCAAAACACAGAACATCTGGTGTTGAAAGCTACGGAATAGTAGTGGGTTTTTAAACGGGATTTGAAAACCAAGAGGGAGGGGGCCTGACTTTTTGAATAGTGTATTTTTTCTTGTACATCTTAATTTGCTGAAGTAATTTGATATATTTATTTTCCTCCCGAGTTTTATATGTATTGTAGTTCGTTGTGTTTTATTGTTAATCATCTGGTGTAAAAATTGTCAGTGTCGAAGGTTCCAAAAAAAGAGCCACAAAGGTTTACCGTATTTTCCGCCGTACACGTCGCATCGCTCTGTAAGTCGCATCAGTCCAAATATGTCTAATAAAGTGGAAAAATCCAGAAATATGTCGCTTCGCCATATACGTCGCAGATATTATGCATCACCGCTGACGCGTTGCGTTTTTTACGCCTCGCTGCTGACGAGCCGTAAATGTGGGCCGATGTTGTGCCAAAAATTGATTATTTGTTTGCTCAAAATTATAGTAAAGGTGTGTCTCAGTTCAAATTTTGCTTAATAAATGCACTTTGACGGTCAAATCAGCTGCATTTCAAAAGCCAATTCGTGCCCGTGGGAGCGCGCAGTGGGACGAGTCACTGTGCATTTCTTTGAAATTTAACAAGATAACCACCTAAAAACAATTTTGTTTGCTCGAAATTATTGCAAAGCTGTGTCTCAGTTGAACCTTTACTTAATAAATGCACTTCAGTCAAATTACTGTAATTTCTGGACTACTGAGTGAACCAAAATATAAGCCGCACCCACTACATTTAAACAATAATAATAATTTTTGTACATATATAGGCTGCACTTGTGTATAAGCCGCGAGTGTCCATGTTGTAACGTGAGACATTTACACAGAAATATATTTTTTTTACTTTTGATTAAATGCATATCAGTAACATACACAAATATGTATAGTAAAAAAAAAAAATTCTGAACAGTGCCGGTAACACGGCTGGTTAAAAATAATAATACAGTAGCCTCCCAGGAAGTCATTGATCACGATCTTCATCTTCCTCCTGCAGAGGATTTTTTTTGCTGCTCCTCTGTCAGGATCCACTGGCAAACTGGAGTAGAAGTTGCTCTTTGCATGCTGCCAGTTTTGCTAAACTATTTCTTGTCTCCAGTCATCCAAGCCTCCCACCGAGCTTCAAGTGTCACGTTAATACACGATTCACACTGATATCAAATGACTGCAAATACTTTGTTGTTCCCCCAGGGAGGGGCACGAGTTCCCTCCTCGTTCTCTCCACTCCTCGTTTCATTGGTCCACTGTGACCTTTTTGGTCATTTCATTGGTCAGATTTTTTTTACCTTTATTTATACAGGTAGTCTCATTGAATCACAAGGACCCACCCCCCAGGAGAGACATGTATTGGGCAGCTATGTGAGCGCCGGCAAGCCGATTGTGTCATTAATGGCCACTTTTACCTATTACATGATACAATGGCATGCCATTCTGCTTGAGTGCCATCTAGTAGCTGAAAATGGTAGTGTTCAATATTTGGAATGAATGAATGAATGGAAACTGTCATATGTCAGCCAAAAAATTAGTTTATAAATATGGAAAAAAAAAAATCCATAAATACGTCGCTTCAGCATATAAGTCGCAGGGAATGTAAATAATGCAAAAAAGCACGACTTATAGGGCAAAAAATACGGTAAATCTTAGACATGAATTGTTCTCTTAGCATTTCATGTAAAGCTTTAAATATTTCAAAGTACCTGGATATATGAATGCTGAAATGTTTTCATTTTATCCCAACTCTGCTCTCCAGCCTCTGAGGACAAACGCAAGAAGAAGAGAAAAGGCCGAAGTGACGACAGAAAGAAAGAGAGAGAGAGGAAAAAGAAGGAGAAATCTGACAAGGAACAAGACCGACGCAAGAACAATAAAGACAAAAATGACAGTAAGAAACAGGCGAGGAAGGACGACAGAGGCCATGCACATGAAATAGAAAAGTGTGCACGAGAGGGTGAGCGTACCCAGCAGGGTGCCCAGTGGGGAAGACGAGATGAAAGGTCAGAAGAAGAGGAGCAGCGAGAGGAGGAGGGATCGAGCCGAAGAACGGACAGACAAGATGAGAGGGAGAAGGACAGAGGGAGAAACAGGGAACAGGTGAGGGACAGAGGAAAAGAGGTGAGGAGAGACGGAGATAGGGATAAAGAGAACAGAGACGGGAACAAAGAGCGGGAGAAAAGGAAAAGATAAAACGTCACCATCTAACTGCTGCAGCTATGATGGACAGTCATCCCCCTTTTCCTGTCCTGCCAGTGTGGACTTGGGGCTTGACTTTCTCCTTTTATCAATTTTCTACTGTTGATTTTTGTTGTTCGCAAAATAAAAAATATATACTTGTTTAGAGGTTTTGATTCATTTTTGTTTCATGTGATTCTGAAGACTGGGCGTGAACAGTTATTACCTGTTGTAGACGGCTTTTAGAACAACAGCAGTAGAGGAAATGGAACTTCAGATTTATGAGCAAGGTTAAGACTAAAGCTTTTCTAGTAGGTCAGCTCTGCTATCGTCTTTCAAGATTATTCATGTTGCTTGTGGGGAAATGGACCTATACATAATAACATTGAAAAGCAAACCAAAAACTGCCTTATATATTAAAAACAAATCAAAAATGAACTAAAATTAGATAAAATCAACATTTCAGGTCGGGTCAAAAGATGAGTTTTAACTTAAGAAGTGATTTAAAAACGGGCCAGTAGGACGCCTGTCTGATGCTCAAAGGCAGGTCGTTCCACATTTTGGGTGCAGCAGTAGAGGAAGCACGATCCCCTCAAAGCTTTTCTTTTGTTTTGGGACTCTCAGGAGCAGATGGTTTGCTGACCTGAGAACGAGAGGGCATGTAAGGGTGTAGCAGCTCAGTGAGGTAAGTTGGAGGAAGACCATTTAAAGCTTTAAAAACAAATAAAACAAAACTATTACATGAATCCTAAAATGTCCAGGTAGACAGTGCAGTGAGGCAAAAACTGGGAAAATGTGCTAATTTTTTCCTGTGTCATTTAAAAGACGTGCTGTTGCATTTTGGACCTTTTTAAGGTGATCAATGAGGCACTGACCCCGACCCCCATATACAAAGTGCATTACAGTAATCCAACCAGGTGGTAATGAATAGTGGTGTAACGGTACGCTAAAATCACATTTCGGTTCGGTTCAGTTTCAAGGAGGGCTCGGTTAATTTTCGGTTCAAAAAAGGCCAAAATAAGGACTTAAAAAATGTTTATTTTGAAAATATGCCACGTAAATATGTTTTTATAAAAATAAATAAAAGCGACCCATTTATGATATTTAAATAAACAGCACTCGTTACAATAAATAAACTATAAGATAACAATAACAAAAATCTTAATAAATCTTAATAAATACAATAACAGTCAGAACCAGAACAATAAGCAGCAACAGACTGTTTACATCTAACCGTTTATTTTATTATTTTTTTAATCTTCAACGCTAAAAAATATATATATTTTTTTTATGACCAGCTCTGCTGGTCTCACACAATCCTCTCCTCCAGAGACAGGACGGGCAGGCTCATCTTCCCAGCTCCAAGCTCAGCTGGTGACTCGCAGAGGCCGTTCCAAGACCCCAGCCTCGCGTAATCATGAAAGCCCGACCCGCGCAGACAAGCGGACAGAGACGGGTCTGCGACGAACGGTGGAAGCAATTTTAAAAAACATTTTACATGTAAAAAAATAATAGTACTTTTTAAATCAGCAATTTTTAAAAACATTTTTTGTATAAAAACAAAATATTATTTTATTTAAAAATCGCTTCCACTGTACGTCCCAGACTGTCCAGTCCACCTGACTGCCGGGCGGGATCGGGATTCAGCCTTAATGATTACGCGTGGCCGGGGTTTCGCAACGGCCTTCTGCGAGTCCCCATCTCCAGCTTCGCAGTGACCAGCGAAGCTCTGAGCACACAACGCTGGTATCCGGAACCCATGCCTCCGAGTCGGCACATTGAAGGATCTTCCGCGGTGACCAGCGGAACTCGGAGCCGGGGAGATGACGCCCTGCCCAGCCTGGCGCTCCGGGGGGAGGACCGGGGTACACCAGCAGAGCTCCATCCAGCTTGCTCTGAATTATGTTGTCGGCCACCATGCACAAAAAACGCCAGCACGTCAGCATTAGACCAAGATGTTGTCAGTATTGTTTTTAAAATCTTTCAAATAAGTCCAGCCGCTGCTGCAGTCCAAGAAATTGCAAATGGCGGATCATTGTTTTGAAAAGTTTCTGAAGGATCCAGTGACTCCGCCCCCGACCAATCAGTGACCGACAGTGTTCTGACGTCACATTTTAGTACCTCTTCGTTCTGGTTAGAACCACAGAGCCAAGGGTATTGAAAATAGTAACCTGTGCTAAGTACCGGTACTAATGGAAAAGCCTCAGAACTGGGCCAAGTAGGGTCCAGTCGGCCCGTACCGGTACTAATGGAAAAGGCGATATGATGATATTTAAATAAACAGCGCTCTTTACAATAAATAACTATAAGATAGCAATAATAAAAATCTTAATAAATACAATAACAGTCAGAACCAGAACAATAAGCAGCAACAGACTGTTTACATCTAACCAAGTTAAACGTTATTGTTATTGACGCTCTTACTCAAAAATGTGTTCTAATACTGCCACCTACTGGTGTGTTTTATTTTGTATATTTCTGGTATGTACGTGCGTTACGTTACACGTCTTGTGTGAAGAAAAAATGGCGTTCTGTGAACACGAGCTGTGTGCGTACAGCACTGAAGGTCTTCAATAAATATGCCAGAAAGAGGCTGAAGAGACCCAACGACTCACTTGTTTCTGTCTCTCTGCAACGCCGGCACCTCTGCGCTACAATCCATTCAACAGGTTATGGGCCCAGGAAGCGGAGAACAGTTTTATTTTGGGAAGAAGGCCGCACGGAGTGAGCGGGACTTCTGCAAGCTAAGCTCGTTAGCATTGAGGTAAGTGAGTACCCCACTAAGTTAAACGCGACATATTACGCGAGAGCTACTGAAGCGAAAAAGTTTGCAAGATGGCAAACAGAGCTGCAGGACTAATGGCATCACCACAGCTATTTTTTGATGGATCGGACGACAAGTATGATTTATGGGAAACCAGATTTCTTGGCCATGTGCACATTCTGAAGCTAAAAGAGACTATTTTGAAAGAACCTACAAGTGATGCGCAGCGAGCACAAGATGGCCAGAAAACTGCGGATTGCGACGCTGAGCTAATAAGGCTAATAGATGATAGAAGCCTGTCTCTAATAAGACATGAAGCTGAAGATAATGGCAGAAAAGCTTTGAAGATACTAAAAGAACACTATTCTGGAAAGAGCAAGCCAAGAATAATAAACATATACATCCTTGATCAATCTAAGAATGTCTGACGATGAGACTGTAACCGATTACCTGATTAGGGCAGAGAACATTATTACAGCCCTAAAAGATGCAGGAGAAACCCTAAGTGATGGACTAATTATAGCCATGATGCTAAAAGGCCTACCGGACTCATTCAAACCATTGGCTGTACATGTGACGCAAAATGAAGATGAAGTCACATTCACAGATTTTAAAAGAATAAGAGTCTATGAAGAATCAGAAAAAATAAAGAAAACAGAGTGTACAGATGCAGCACGGTGGCGCAACTGGTAGAGCTGCTGCCTCTCAGCGAGCAGGTCCTTGGTTCAAACCCCAGTCCAGGGGCCTTTCTGGGTGGAGTTTGCATGCTCTCTCCGTGCGTGCGTGGGTTTTCTCCGGGTGCTCCGGTTTCCTCCCACAGACCAAAAACATGCATGTTAGGCTGATTGGTAACTCTAAATTGTCCCTAGGTGTGAGTGAGAGAGTGAATGGTTGTTTGTCTCGTTTGTTTCTATGTGGCCCTGTGATGGACTTGCGACCTGTCCAGGGTGTACCCCGCCCCTCGCACAGTGATTGCTGGACATGGGCACCAGCGACCCCCGTGACCCAAAATGGAATAAGCGGGTAAAGAAAATGGGTGGATGGATGGAGAGTGTACAGATAATGTGATGAAAACTCACATAAAACCAAACAAACACTCAAGCAAAACCTTCGCTGCCGACAGAAAAGATGATTACTCTAACATGAAGTGCTACTGTGGACTAAAGGGACACAAAGCAAGAATGTGTTACAGGAAGGTGTGGTGCAGCTACTGCAGAAGTAATGCACACCATGAATCTGTATGCAAGAAAAAGGAGGGATTTGAAAGTACCAGAAAAGTATCAGAAGAACAAGATGAAGAAAATGACAGACTCTTCACGGCCAAACACACAAAAGAATACAGGCCACCAGACAATGTACAGAAGAAAGGCATTATGGTGGATGTGGGTGCGACATCACACATCGTCAACGACATCACAAAGTTTATAAGCTTCGACAGCACATTCCAGCCTGAAAGTCACTCTGTAGAGCTAGCAGATGGAACCAGATGCACTGGGATGGCACAACAGAGAGGAACTGCAGTGATCTACCTTCTAGACAATGAGGGACGACAGCAAAGAGCACAGCTTCGAGAAGCACTCTACATGCCGTCGTATCCACAAGAGATCTTCTCGGTTGCAAGAGCCACAAATGGAGGAGCAACTATCACCTTCCAGCAGGGGACTGTCACGTGATGGACAAAGATGGATTCAGGTTTGACATATATGAGAGTGGTAATCTGTATTATATGCCAACAGTTGAGCTCGAGACAGATAAGTGTAAAGTGTGCCATGATTTACAGACTTGGCATGAGATTTTGGGCCACTAATTATGAAGATGTGCAAAAGCTTCAAAAGGTAGTTAAAGGTATGGCGATAAAAGGAAGCACGAACAAACCAGAGCAGTTATGTGATGTGTGTACAAAAGGAAAATTCACCCAGACTAGAAACAGAGAACCAGACAAAAAGGCTGACAGACCTTTACAACTAGTACGCACTGATCTAACAGGCCCTATGTCTACACCCAGCATAGAAGGGTATAGATATACACAGTCATTTACAGATGATTATTCTGGTATCATTATGGTATATTTTCTTAAATCCAAAACTGACACACTTCAAGCCACAGAGAAATATTTGGCAGACATAGCCCCTTATGGGAAAGTGAAGTGTATTCGTTCGGATAACGGTACTGAGTTTACAAACAAAGAATACAGAGCTATGCTAACCAAGCATAAGATCAGACATGAAACTTCAGCACCTTGTTCACCACACCAGAATGGAACGGCAGAGAGAGGTTGGAGAACGCTCTATGACATGAGCAGATGTCTGTTACTAGAAAGCA